ACGCTACTAGGAGCAAAGGGCATCGCTACTAGGAGCAAGGACGCTACCCTCGGATGTCCGGATCCTTTTGGACCTTCATTTCGAGGAAGATGTCAGATACTTCCACGGAGTCTACAAGAGCCTTGGCATCCTGAGACGTAACGCTTTTTGTTGCCCATTTGGCTGAGCCTGTTAAACTTGTGTGGGGGGATGGAGAACCCAATGGCCTTTCTCAGTGGATGCCAGGAACTTGTGCAACACAGCTCTTGAAGGAATCCCCAACTTCTGCTATACCTCGATGAAGCAGGCATGTGATGAGTATTTCTACTTGCCCGCTCGCCAAGAACACCGTGGGACTGGGGGAATTTTCTTTGATGACCTGCCTGTAGATGAGGAGGGAATGGAGAAGAGTCCAATCTCTGACTAATGTTGCAGGCAAGTTTTTTGCGAAAGACTTCCAACATGTCTCTTGATATTTTATATAAAGGATATTATTTCCATTGTTAGTTACATAAGGACGCTACTAGGGGGCTCCTGGCCTTACTACTAGGAGCAAGGACGCCACTAGTAGCTCTTGGCGCAGGAGAGCCTTGGCTTCGTGGAGGGTGTCGTGGAGTCCTGGATGCCTTCTTGGCTTCCCATCGTGACCAAGAGGCGAGGTGAAGCATACACTGAGAAGCAGAAGCATTGGCAGCTGCTGAGCCTTGACTGAACACAATGCTAAGTATTGGAAACAAGAAAGGATTCAGGAAACAGAAAGATCACCTAGGTCCCTGTGTCCCCTAGTTCCTTTCTGGTCACAACTCCTAGGTCCTTGCAGGTTCAGTTCATCATTTGCTTTGCCCTTTTGGTTTTCTCTCGACAGTCAAATCCTTCGACCGAGGAGGCGCGGGAGATATTTGGAGTTCAATCTCTTATACGACCGTGGAGTGAAGTTCGGTCTGGCAAATGCCAACCCGCGGGTGGAGGGCGTCATGGTCTCAGCGCCACCAAAGATTGCCTTTGAAGACTTGGCAAGCTGAGAAGGTTTTTACACCACACATCCACACACCATACTTCTTTGCATTTTGCTCGCCATGTTCGGTGAGATCAGGATAGTTTGGGACAAGGCATGTGCCACTGTTTGAACGCTGTGCTAGGATTGTTTATGCCCAGAAGCTAAGCCATACAGAGTGCGTCGTGACACGATACATGCACAGTATTGTGTGGGGAATCTTGTTGTGGGATGGTGACCACCCATGACTGCGGCCTTGGGTAGTCAGAGACTGTTCTTTTGTTGCTAATGTTGGATACTGATTAGTAAATAGGTCCTCTATAATGCTAAATTTTTCCAAATTTATTCAGAACCCCCTGTATGAAAAATGGTACCTCTATAATGCTAATGTTTTTTTGGGCCCTAAATTTTCAAATTGGAAACCCAATTAATAAGGGTTTGAATTCCTTCTGAGGCCAATGATTTGTGATTCATTAGCTGATATAGCTTTCTCTAGGTTTCTTCAAAACTGACAGCTGACCAAAACCACCAATTCCCCAATTAAACCCTTTATAAAACGTTGCTCCTAAACAAATTTTCAAGGTAGTAGACCAGGAAGGCACCTGATCCTCAATAATAAATTTGTTTTTGGGTCCTCAATTGTGAAAAGTTTTTTCCACTGGAAAAATTGCTCATGGAATCTTCCTTTACTTAGGAAGCCATGGAAGCTGAGGAAGCTGAAAGCTTGGGGCTTCTCTTGAGCTGAAGATCTGAGGCTGCAAAGCAAAAGGATTGCTGAGAATAATTACAAAGAACCTGAGAAAGGAAGCCGAATACAATCTATGAAAGGAAAATGAATACTACAATCAATTACAAGAAGGAATTCTCACAGGAATCCGGATTTGTGTTGGTGATAGTTTATTATAGAGGACCTCCTGTTTGTTTGAGGGGGTGGGGGGGGGGAGCCCCTATTTACTAATCAGGCGCCAACATTAATTGACGTGTGCTGTTGAAAGCCGTTTGTGCATCCAAATTGTTCAAAGGCTCTTTGAGGGGTCTTTGGCGTTTATATTTGACATGTGTTTGAGTCGCCGAGTTGAGGAATACAATCACAAGGTGGAGGAAGGCAGCGCAGAAGAGGCCTTGATGAAGGTGTTGAAAGAGCCCAAAGACTGGGCTTAAGATGGCTTAAGCGGCCTAGGTGCGAAAAGCCGCTCTGGAAATCCTCGGAGATTTCATATCAAGTGCCTTACTAGTAGTAACAAGAAGCTAGTAGAAACAAGTGCATCGCTACTAGTAACAAGTGCCTTACTACTAGTAACAAGAAGCTATTAGTAACAAGTCAAGATTGTGCTTCATTCGATCCGCCGCTGGTCGGTCGGTTCGCCAGTCACAGGGCCCAAAGTGGTTCCTGTGAACTCGCAAAGCTTGGGCAAAACTGCTTTTGCAGCGGATGCATCGGTTTGGATCCTCCTCAAAATGCAGGGCTTCAAGATCTTGCGGATACATGTGTTTCCTCACGTTGCAAGTGGGGTTGACAGTTGAAGCTGCCCTTTGAACTTTCAGGATTTAGCTATCATTCACAAACCAGGAATCCACAAAGGTCAGCAGTCATTGGCCTTTTGGGGGAAATACCAAGTGGAGTTGCTCAGACGGTTCAGCCCTTTGGTTTGGGAACTTGTCCTCACAATATGGAGTTGAATGTCGAGGTGGACAGATTGTGTCACGGATAGACGCTGACTTCTGAGGTACTTCACGGCATGTTCAATCCATCGCAAGTGAACTTGGCGGCCGACCCGGAGTTCTTCAACGATATCCATGCAGATGTCGAGCAGGAACGACCCCAAGCTATTAGGAACAAGTGCCTCGCTAGTAGTAACAGGTGCCTTACTAGTAGTAAGAAGGACGCTACTAGGGGCGGCATCGCTTCTAGTAACAAGTGCCACGCTACTAGTAACAATGTTTGCTAGTAGAAACAAGTCACACAAAGTCGGTCATACAAAGAGCAGAGATGGCCATTTTTCGCATGCAGTTGAGTACAGGAACGACTGTTCCCTTTGAGGAATACGCTTGAATGCTCCTTGATGTTCTGGGCTATGTGAACACACATTTTAGTGTGAGAGCTGTTGCGTTTCTTGCAGGAGTGCCGCAAATATGGCTCCGTGATCAAGGTCTTTGCCGATCAGGGCAGCAGCAAAGGAGACGTGCCTTGGCAGTCACCCAGTGAGAGTGACGGGTGAAGGCTGTGTCTGGTGACATGTCAGAATCTTCAATTGGCCCTTGGAAGTGACGGGGTTCGCGGCAGGAAGGAGTCCATGCTCCTAGTAGCAAGGCCAGGAGCCCCTAGTAGCGTTCTTGTTCCCAGTAGTAATGCCAGAAGCTACTAGTAGCGTCCTTGCTCCTAGTAGCGATGCCTTTTGTTTCTAGTAGTTTCTAGTAGCCTTCCCTTAGTATTTACACGCATTCGCCCCCACCGCCTAACGGAAAACATCGAACGGCTACACTTCGAACGAGGTGTGGGTGAAGTTTGTGGATGCTACCAGCGCGGCCAATTGCCAGCGAGCATTGGACAGGCGGATCCCGAAACACACGGACCATCGAGAGGCAAAAGTGAGCAATTGGACCTATTTGGTATTTGAAGCTTTTCCTGTTGCAATGTCTTTTCCATGGGTGATACTTGGCATCATGTGATGCTTCCTTCTGATGCGTTTCCAAAGGCGTGCCAAGAGTTGGCTGAAAGTTTAAAGACTTTCTACTGCTCTAGGTTGGAGGCCATCGCTCTTAGGGAGGACATTGCTAGGTTTCTTGTCTTACTCAATACGTTTCTTCCTTTTCGCAGGCGTTGGTTCGCCGGTCAGCAGATTATTGCAGAGTTCAGCACCGAAGCGGCATGGGGTCCAAGTGTGAACCGGGCTCTTGGACATGCAAGGGATTGTTCCTGCGACCAACCTAGTAGCGTCCTTGCTACTAGTAGCGATGCCCTGTGTTACTAGTAGCTTCATGTTCCTAGTAGTAAGGCCAGGAGCTACTAGTAGCATCCTTGCGCCTAGTAGTAAGGCAAGGAGCTACTAGTAGCGTCCTTGCTCCCAGTAGAGATGCCCTTCACTTTCCATCACTTTCCTATTCCATGCTTTCCATCCTCGTAGCAGGTTGTTGGTGTTCTGTTTCGCATGTTTTTTGAGATGACGTAGGATTGTTTGGCTTGTCTGCGATGGGGTTTGAACGTGTATCTTTTCAATATTTCAATCAAACGATATCAAATTCAATTTGCAATCGTTTGAGGACTTCATGCGGTTTCCAACCCATCTCTTGAGTGAACTAGTCTGCCGCACTCGGCCAGATTTATGAAACCTGCCACCAAGGCTTGGGCTGGCGTGGTGCGATGAGGCGCTCCCGAAAGTTTGCTCTCCAAACGGATCTATCCTACTAGGTTGGAGGCCATCCGGTTTAGAAGGGTGCCTTACCTCAACCTACATCCACAGAAACGGCCTGTTACTGCCAATCATTCAAGAACCTCGCAGAAAAGCCAAGATTCCAGGCGGCGATGTAGGACAACTTCAAACAATCCTGCCCAAACCTTGTGAGAGTAGCATGTTTTGCTTGTGAGTTCTTCAACAATGAGCTTGCCAGTACACATGGCTGCGCTGCGACTATCGTGGTACTGCATCTCCGCAGACAAGCCCATATCTTGCTTATATCTTTAGCATTCAGTATCATAGTTGTTGTTTTTTCTTTTATGAGGGTTGCGTCCTACCACGAGATTCCACAATCTCTGGAAAACTGGGAGATTACAGGGAATCAAAGTGCGTAACCGCCGAGAGTCTACTTCTACCAGAAAGCCGCCTACACGTGTGGCGGCCATCGCCAGTAGGTTGGAGCCCATCGCTCTTAGGTTTAAGTGCTATTCTGTGTCACCATGTTCTCAGTGTCTCTGAGCGCAGCCAGGCGACGGCCGGTACTGAGAAACCATGCAAGACGACCATGCGAGAAGAAAGAACGACGATGACGATGTTGAGAGGATTTGGTGTGATGGTGAGGTTGTGGGGTTGCGGCCGCAGGAACTAAGGTCATATGACACGCAATGTTTTTCCGCGAAAACCACAGTTCATTTCGTGGGGACAGACTTTCTGGTGTGATTGATAGAGCGTCCTTGTTACTAGTAGCGTTCTTGTTCCTAGTAGTACGGCCAGGAGCCCCTAGTAGCGTCCTTGTTACTAGTAGCGATGCACTTGTTCCTACTAGTAAGGCACTTGTTCCTAATAGCTTCTTGCTCCTAGTGCATTCAGAAGTTGCGAGTTTGGTGTAAAGATTGAAGGAACCTCGGGGTACAAGTAGCTCGGCATACTCGGCCGATATTGAGTATTCTTGTTCGTTTGGAATGGGAGAACACATTCGCTGCACCAACCTTGCTTTGCAGCAGCTTTGCCGCTCCTCATCGCCCTAATTTCTATTGAACTTACATGGGCACACTTGCCACAGTTGCCAGGGTTTGAGTTTTTGTTTGAACAAGAAGTGAACCATGATTGTGGTACCTTGAGCGGCCAATTGAGAATATCAACGGGCGGCGGTCTCCGCAGCCTGAAAACAGCAGCCATGAAGCGATGGCACAGGGCTTGCCAGGTGGGAGGGACTGGAGTCCCTCTTTTCAGGGAATGCTGTGGAAGGATAACATGTTAAAAGCGATCGCCTCCAACATCCTCCAACCTAATAGCGATGGCCTCCAACCCAATGGCGATGGCCTCTAACGTAAGCGCGATAGCCTCCCTGTAGGGAAGCCAAGACCGACTTGGAGGTTTTGGGCGCAAAGCTTTATCTAGTCCCTTCAAGAAACTGTCCTCATCAAGGTTTTGCGGGGTTCCCTTTTCACGATTCACCAGTCAAGTCTCTATACTGTAATCCTCGATTGGTGCTGATACTTGACTGGTAGGACCTCAAGCACTTTTTGTTGATGTTACTTTTTTTGAAGACTGCTTTTGAATGCTTTTTACAATGCTGTGATTTTTGGAGCTCTCAAGGTTGGATCCATAAAAAATAACACAATTACTTTACTTCGAGTGATCCCCAAAATTTCGGGCATATCTTCTGACATGCTTTCTGATATTCTTTCTAGCATATCTTCTGACATTCTTTCTGGTCACATTCTATCTGGCACATCTTCTGCATATCTTCGGACATTGTTTCTGGCTTTCTATCTGGCATATCTTCTGACTCGCGGTTGAGGTCCGGCGGGTAACACTGCCAGCCAACGCTCGCGGTTGAGGTCCCACGGGAACACTACCACGTGGCCCTCCCGGTTGAGGTCCGGCGGGGAACGCTGCCAGCCGGAGCTCGCAGTTGAGGTGCGGTGGGCAACACTGCCATCCTGCACTTGCGGTTGAGGTGCAGAGGAGGCGGACGAGGCAGAGGCGGACGTGGCGGAGGCGGAAGCGGAGGAAAGGAGCTGACATAAAACCTACCAACCCTGACCTGACAGGTGGGGAAAGATGAAGCACGGCTGGAGGTTGAGCTATTTAGGCACCGCGAGCCAAGCCTTTCCCCCAATTCGCAAGGTTGGAGCCCCGGCTTAGACGTGGTTAGCGAAACCTTTAGATTTACTAATGTTCGCCCGAATGCGGAACAGCCGACAACCGACAATTCAGTATTTGGAGATTGGCATGGTTATGACGATGCCGACTTTATCTGGTCAAGCATACAAGCTGACGAGGAGTGTATCACGCATTAACATGGATTGACTGTTTCACCTCAAAGGGCGGCTTGTTTCTAATAGCAATGGCCTCCAACCTACTAGCGGCGATGGCCTCCAGCCTAACAGCGATGGTTTTTGCCTCAACAAACGTGATATGTTGTGAACTGGCCCAGATCCAATGCCTGATTTTACTCTCAGGCCCTCTCCTTGCTGCGTGCGGAGGGCATGCAATTTGGCTTCAGTTCGGAACGAAATGTGAAATCATGAGACGGGAATGGTGGAATGCGTGTGCGGATGGGTGTGGGGATGTGCTGGTGGGCCTGGGAAGTCATGGCATCCCTTGGTCGTCGGAGAACGAGGGATTTGGAACAAATCTGAAAAGATCTTAAACAAATCCTCACTCAAATCCTCTCTCACATCAGGATCCGCTATTAGGTTGGAGGCCATCGCTAGTAGGTCGGAGGCCATCGCTACTAGTAACAAAGGCATTACTACTAGTAGCTAGAAGCTACTAGTGAGCAAGGCCATCCCTATCAGGTTGAAGGCCATCACTTCACATTGTGTTTTTCTTTGGGTCCTTTCGTCCTCTCCGAAGCTGAAACTGTGAGGTACGGTCAGGTGCAAAGACACCTCGTCAGGCCCAGGCAGAGGTGCGGGTACCGCATCCAGACACTCCTTAGCTTTACAATCTCTCCTTGTAAAATTAATGGCACTCTGATGGCACTCTAGGTAGATCAGAAAGACTGCTTTGCAACTTTCTCAGTCGTGCCGACAAGTCAGACCCACATGAGCCGATAGCAACTGTCAACTTAGCATGAGGGCTCTGCATGAAGGAACGGGGATTCCGGGAAGCATTCACAGCGGCATGTGCACGTATGGGCATCTACTAGTCGTGCAGCAGTAACTGATTCACCTTTCGCACCCAGATTGCAAAGCGCCAGAAGTTGGAGAGTGGAGTGCTCAGTGCATAGTTGTGAACACCAACTGCGGCGTGACACAACATTGTGAAGCGTTGGAGGCATATGAGACCAGTGCTCCTCGACTTGAAGATGTTACGGCTAGCAGTGTCTAGCAGGGTTTAGAAGCCCGCCAAAATGATTCTCATCCTGCTACCCATGTTTTAAGCATTTGAGTTGAGAAGGAACATCCGTGTAAGCCGAGTCACCAGTCACCGCGGAAGGCACAATTACTTAGGAATTGAATCTTTGCGGCAAGATTTTTGTTGCTACTTGGTTGGAGGCCTTCGCTAGTAGGTTGGAGGCCATTGCTACTAGGGTGGAGGCCATCGCTATTAGAACAAAGAACAATGAGGAGGAAGAAAGAATGAAAGGAAGGAAGGAAGAAACACACATGCCATTAACAAGAAGCTACTAGGAACAAGTGCCACGCTAGTAGTAACAAGTGCCTTACTACTAGTAACAAGACGCTACTAGAAACAAGTGCATCGCTACTAGTAACAAGTGCCTTACTGCTAGTAACAAGACGCTACTAGTAACAAGTGCATCGCTACTAGTAACA